GTGTCTTCACAATCTAAAATACTTTTTAGCTGTGAAATTGCAATATTTTGGGTTGTGGAGTGAGATTGATGAATTTACCATTTTCAAAAATTCAGAGTTTAAATAGTTGACGGCTTAAGCTAGTTCCCAACTGCCATAATCCGGTTCTCAACTAGCATAGACCATTTTTAAAAACTGCCATGCCAGGAACCACTTTTGGCTCTCGATTGCTTGGCAGTGAGAACTGTTATTGCTCTGCTCTCACTTTGTACTACTTTGTAGGACATTAACCACTGAAATTAAAAAATCCAAACTTTTCTGTGAAATCTCCTTGCAACAACCAATCAGGGAATGGTTGTAGTTCCCATGTAGGCTAAAGAAGTGCAACCGAGATAAAGCTATGCCCAATCAGAGTGAAATACATTGACAAAAGATGAAATCAGTAAGAGGTTTTGGGTGGCTTTAAAAAAAAGATAGAAAAAAAGATTGTTTTGATTAATCTCTGTGAGGTCTGCTTGATTTCTGGGTCCAACATTCTGAGTGCTTGACAAGATCTTGCTGGTGTACAAGACTGAGTTATGCTCAGAGTAATTCAGTCTGGTTGGCCAGGGTAGAAATGCACAGCGGTGAATTTCACATGGACACCGGGTGTGAATGCACCTTTAATTACACTGGAATCTCAAATCTTCAGTTACCCAATTCTTTTTCATGTAGGAGTCAAAATATCATAAACTGTGTATCTTCAACCTTGTTGGATGAGAAAATGACTAGTTGCTTTATCTAAAAGGAGTTAATTAATTAAACAGTTTAAAATAAAATATTTAAATATTGCAAAAAAAACAATGTTAAAAAGAGTTAGCAAGAAAATAAGGAAATAATGTATTGCATTAAAGTTTGGATGAAGCACTAACTTTAAATAAGTAAACTTGTAAATGACTTAATTAGTTCCTTAAATCACTTCACAACTAATTTTCTAAAGTTACGTTTTAAACAAGAAAAGCATTTAGACTAAGAGAGAAAGTCATAATTTGGTTGGTAAAATATATTTATATGAAATACCTACTGTAACAGGAAACAAATTTTATAAAAGTTTTTATGAAGTCAGACCCTTTGAGCTGCCCACACCCACAGTGAAAGTTTCCACTGCAGCATTTCTCAGGCTGTGGTTTATTGTTCTGTGTTTGCTGCTCTACAGATCAGTGGTGCATCAGGTAGCAAAGACCAAACAGGAACACATCAGTTATTTTCTGTCAGCTCTCTGAAACCCACAGAGGGCATGAAACCAGAGTTCTCACGCCTGTTTTAATAGTCCAGATTATAAAAAAAACTTTAACTAAAGATGATTAAATCCAAAGAGATTAAAGACGCGTTAAAGAAGCGTTTCATGATCTCCACCAAGGAGCTAATGTGTTTGCTAGCTTTGCTTTGATTGATTCTTTGTTGGTTGTTTTGCAAAACCAGAAAAAGTGAAGGATTTTTCTGAAATGTTCACCATTGGTGAGTCTTAGCTCAGCTTAGAATTTATTGAATTTTAGTGGTGATCTGGTTTGGTCAAAGGATTTTTTTAACCTTTTGAGATAGCTTCTTGATGGAGGCCTGTGCACATGCATAGAGATATATTCTAACAGCAGGATGATAGCAACATGAAAAACATGAATGTTGACATAATAGAGTCTGTTGGATGAAGCAGTCAGAAGGCAGCAGCTGGAGGTCAGAGGTCAGACTACCTCACTGAGGAGTAGATGAGGTCTGATTCCACTGGAAGCTCTGGTAGAACATCAACACACTCTAGAAGGAAAGAAATAAAGGTTAGATAATAACATATGAGACAAAAATTGTGTGATGACATAAAAGTATTAGAACAAAGCTCACAGTTTTTCAGTAAGGTTAGTTACATGAAATACTATCATGAAGGAGAAATCTCTATCTATGTCTCTTTAGTTTGGGGATCTCTGCTCCTGTCATTCATTACTGACCTCCCTTCATGTTGGGTGGGGATGCTTGGCCTCCATAAGCTGAGGGGTTCCTGGTACTTTCTGCCCTTTGGAGCTCAGTTTTTTTTCTACCATTCTAACTATTCTAATACCTAGGCTCATCCATGAGACAAATGTGTGCCCTGAACAAACAGAGGGTGAGTAGAATACTCAAAAATTGTAATCAAGTATAAGCAGAACTACTTCCACTTATTTACTTAAGTAAAATCCAAAAGCAGTTATCTGGAAATTATTGGAAAAAAAACATATGGTAAATCCAAACTGAAAGATTGTTGTTCTCTACTTCAAAAACGCTTTATATTTTAAAGTGGAAAAAAGTTCTATTTTTTATATATATTTTATTTAAAAAGTCAATGTATAACATGGATGCATAAACAGCTGCATTTTATTTAAGTATTAAATTCTGTTTAAAGTAACAGATTAAAGATTAGAAATGAAAAATGTCTCCGGACCTTTACTGGTTGTTGATTTTCTTCATTCGCACTCCACTGATTTTTAATTGGTTACCCCTGATCTATCAAATATATTCATGCTTGGTTTCACTGTTTAGGGCTGAAAAACGAGGTAGAAGCGCCTGTCCTGACCACTGTGGATTCACCTTTTATATGAAAACCTCCAGTTACTCACAGGCAGCAGATTAGTCAGAAATATTACTCAAGTAGAAATATCAACACTTCATATTAATCTTATTCAAGTAAACAGAAAAAATGCAGTACAATAAAATTACTTTAAGAGTATATTTCTTTCCAATTGTAACTAGTTATTGCCCACTTCTGCCATCAAACTATCAAAAGGGTCAAATAGTAAAATGAGAACACGGCTCCATCCTAAATGGACTTCAATCAAAACAGGTTTATCTGAACCTTAGAATGGTTTAACTTGTCAACTTATACACCAAAATATAAGTTGGTGTTGGGATCTGGAGGTTTGTCCACTTTCTCCACCAGAGGGCGTACGAGATCTCCTGGAGCCTGAGCCGACCGAACCACCTGTCTCCCATCTGCTCATCAGGAGATCTGTGCTTAAGGAGGCGGAGGGCTTCACTCCAGTGCCAGAGTGTTTGCCAGTAACGGTTAGCAAGCCTGAGCCAACCTGCCTGTCTGTGAACTCTGACTTTTGTGAACCAAACCTGATCCCGTTTTCTCCTCTCTGCTTCCCAGGTAGATCCTGCCTGAATACCTGAAACTCTGGAGAGTTTCTCTGCCGGTGATCTGTCTGCTCGTTCTCAGTTGAACTCTGGAGAGCCGTCTCTGTCAAGTATCTGCCTGCACGCTCTCAGAAGATTACTGGAAGGAAACTCAATCTGTGATCTGCCTGCACTCTGTAAGCTCTGCCTCCACCTCTGCCCTCAGCCTGCCGACAACCTCTGGACCCCCAAGGTTCCCCCCCTCTGCAGCTCTGCTCCACTCCAGAACAGGTACTGACCTGAACACTCTCAACCTGCAAAATACCTGGACCTCCACTAATCTCTGTCCTCCTCAGCAGTGAACCCACTCGTGACCAGTCAAGTCCCCTCCTGGATCTGATCAAACTGTGTACATTTATTGTAAATAAATCTTTGAACTTTTCTTCTGCCTCCGAGTGTTCTGCATGTGGGTTAGACACATTAATCCGAACATGACAGTTGGATCTGCAGCCTCTTTTTTCGAGGTCGGATTATAAAACCCAGTTTCCTCCTTCATCATTGTTATCTGTCTACTTTGATGCCAAGTTAAGCTCTGATCTAATAGTCCTTGTTCCTGCTGTGGTTTGCCTTAAAGGGATAGTTCGGGATTTTTGACATGAATCTGTATGGCATCCCCATCACCAGTGTCATGCAATCACACTGACTTACCCCTGGCAGCATCCTGTGAGCAGAGTTCTGGTCCACTTTTGGTCAAGCTTAAAGTAGTCCGGCAGGTTTGCTAGTCCCAGCGAAATAAAACGTTTCTCTTCCCAAAACATTATGTGTTCAAAAGAGTGATAATTTTGCATCCCGAAAACATTGTAGTGGAAAAAGTCACACGTCGTTATCACTTGGTCCTATTTTCTCTCTGTTCGTATCAGTGCGCGCCGTCATTCTGACAGCGAGCTCAACAACAGCCGGATGCATGTCTCACTCCGCCTAGCTCGTTGAGAAAATAGGACCAATTGATAACGACGTGTGACTTTTTCCACTACAATGTTTTTGGGATGCAAAAATATCACTCTTTTGAACACATAATGTTTTGGGAAGAGAAACGTTTTATTTCGCTGGGACTAGCAAACCTGCCGGACTACTTCAAGCTTGACCAAAAGTGGACCAGAACTCTGCTCACAGGACGCTGCCAGGGGTAAGTCAGTGTGATTGCATGACACTGGTGATGGGGATGCCATACAGATTCATGTCAAAAATCCCGAACTATCCCTTTAAATTGCAAAAACTATTTTAATAAGGAATTAACATTTGATACATTTAATATTAAGCTAATAATCGGAAAATCTCAGCTATCCGGCAGAAATAACTCTTTCTCAGCCAGCTGGTTACTATGGAGGGTTTAGTCCTCACCCACAGATATGTTTCTAACAGGGACTCCATGTTTCATCTTGAACGGATCAGAACACTAGATGTTCTCTGATCATTTTCAGCTCCTGATGCAGCAGAAGATCCCTGCAGCTCTGCAGACATGAACATGTCCCCTCCTACCTGCTTGGAGGCCTCTGCTTCCATCAAGGCTGTAGAAATAGATCTGGCTTTGGACAGCAGCTCTGTTCCTGGATCAGTGGTTCTGTATTCACAGACCGACCAGAACTTGATGTCTTCCTCCCTGAACTCTGTCCTGAGGAACTGAGAGAAGGTTTCCATCCCATCTGACAGAAGAAAAACACAATGACAGAAACACTGTTAATGCTGAGAGATGAACAACAGAGAGATGAGAGGAGATCTAACTGGGTCAGACCCATATCCAACCCTGCTGAGGAGAACCAGCCCAGTGAAACTGAGGTATGAAACTGATTCATTATTGATTGAACTTCTTCTACAATTTGGGTATAAATTTATAAAAGCTGAAGCATCTGAAGATGTTGTATTTCTAATCTTACTTTTTATTATTTGGGTCAGCTTAGATTCTGCAGGTCATCTTTTGATTTAAACTTTTTGATGATAAACAGGAAAGTGGACGACCACAGAGCTGCTAGTCAGTTAAACAGAACAACCACAGCCTGCAGACACAGACGCTCCAACATGATTTTAGTCTTATGAGGGAATAAATTGAGGCAATAGTTAAAATGAATGAAGTTCCCCAGATCAAGAAGTTCTTTTTTTTTATCTAATGAATATTTTTTGGGAATCGGGTTTAATGTTGACATCATTGTGGCAACAGAAGAAAAGGTATTTATGAATTAAGAAGTTTTTATTTAACCTTTTGACTTTTGACAATTTATCTTCCCCAGTAGCACCAGTAGAACCAGAACACATGCGGACTCAAGAGCAAACAAGATGGCAGGAAGAGAAGAAGAGGAGCCAGTAGGAGGGGGAGAAGGTGTGGTTGACAGTGGAGACGTGCTGGGTTTCTCTGAAATAAAAAAAATCTAAAGCTATAATCCAATTAATGAATGATGAGACTTTAATGATTGAAGTCAGGAAGCAAAGAGATGAAGATCAGTGATCCTGACCTTCAACATAGATCCAGCTGGATGGAGACTCTCCATGACCACTGATGTTACACCTGTAGAGGCCTTCGTCAGAGCTGGTCACATGGTGGAGGGTCATGTGACCTTTGGGCTCAGTCCTGATGAGGGAGCCATCTTTATAGAAAGCAGCTGGGAGGTTGGAGGGAGTGGTCTTTGTTAGACAGCTCAGAGTGACGTCATCTCCCTCCATCACAGGGAGGACAGGACTCTGCAGGATCACTGATCCACCTCAACACAGAGACAAACTACAGCATTTCATCCATTTCCACACAGCTTCATCAACACTAACTCCACAGTCTGATCTTACCAGTGACAGTGAGCTGGATGCTGCTGCTGGCTGCTCCCTCTCTGGACCACCAACACCAGTAAACTCCACTGTCTGATGGGAGGAGGTAGCTGATGGTACAGGTAGAACCTTCTTTTCTCCCCCATCCATCTCCACACTGAGTCCTGGTTCTTCTGGTAGTGTTCCTCCATACAGTCCATCCAGCAGAGCTGTTGTTCTCCTCACAGCTCAGAGACACAGAGTCTCCTTTAAAGAACTGAGATCTGCTGGGACTCACAGTCAGAGCAGCTGGGAGGAGTAATGATAAACTCAGTGATTGAATTTACCGATTATATGACCCGATCATAGGACGACTCTGATTATAAGATGACCGCCTCTTTCCAGGTCAAGATTTTATGAACAAAAAAAAAAGACCAAAAAGAAAAAAAAAGAATGATAAACCAAATTTATTATGTTTGCAGAAGCTATTTTATATTGAGCTGGTAAGAATTTAATTGAAATAATATTGCACTGAAGGATTTGTGCAACGAAAAAACAAGTAAAACACAAGATTTAAGCAACATCTTGCAACATTTCAATTTGAATGTAACTTTGCTCAGCTGTTACTTCTACTCTTTCCTTGCAGCTCTGAAATTTTTTGAAAAGCTTTTCTTTAGTTCTTTGCATTTTTTCAGTCTTTTTGAATGTGCCATCTTCTGACATTGCACTCTGTATCGACTTAGCTTTTTGCTGGCTGACAGTTGTTTGATACCTCTGCTAAGTTGACCACCATTATTTTATAATTGGCATCATAACCCCACCTCCCATATCTTCAAAATTGCCTGACTTTTTATCCACTCTGTTCTGGGCAGCGACTCTCCTATTGTAGCATGCTAGTCACTTCTACTCTGTTGTGATAGATAAAAACCCCAGCCACAGTGATGTCACAGTTTTACAAAAAAAGGCGCCCTCTGCTGTTGCGTTCGTCAAGCAACCCCAGACATCTGCCTGTATAGTTGGTTAGACCCCAATTATAAGACGACTCCACATTTTCACATTGTTTTCAGTGGAAAAAAAATATATTGTTTTATATTCGGACCAATACAGTAAGTTTTTTCACACTGATACTAAAAGTAAAGGACTTCTGCAAACCACATATAAATGTAAATTATCTTTCTTTAAGAAACCCTCAATAACTTTTCTTAACTCTCAATAGTGAAAATGTTTCTAACCTTGGTTTGTTCTGCAGCACAGCAGGAAGCTCAGACCTACAGAAAACACATTTAGACGGATTTAAAATCAAAGTTTAGAGTTTGAGGAAAACATCCAGGATTTCTCTATTGTGGGTAGAGCTTTTCTAATTTATTATTATACTGGGTAATATTTAATAAAAATTTATGATTTTTATCTTGCACTAAAGCCTAATCTTTAAACTTTTAACACTTTCATTAACTTCTGTTCCTCCATCAATCATCTTTAGAGCAGCAGATGTTCTGTACTTACAAAGCAGCAGGCTCTGAGGTGTTTCCTTCATGGTTCCTCTCACTCATCTGACGGCTTTTCATTTCTGGATAGAAACACAGAATAAAGCCCGCCCTCTTCCTCTGTACAGGTTGGTTTTTATCTCTCTTCATCCTAGCTCGGTTGTGCTGAGACCAAATATTAGATCATTATATCTTCTTCTCTGTTGGTATGCTCTTGATTAAAACACTACACTTTACACTACATTTAGTCATTCTCCCATTCACTCACACACCAGGGCTCACTGACAGAAGCGAGGCGACTATGTACAGGCGTCACCAGGCCCTCTGAGCACCAGAAATGGATAATGAGGGTAAGAGTCTTGCCCAAGAACACAATGACTGCTAGTCAGAGCAGAGGCTTGAACCAACAACTCGTTGGTTGCATGTCAAAGGTACAAACTTCAGCATCCAACGAACATCATATGAGGAGGACCAGATTAATGTTTTAACTACTGTCAGCATCTGTGTGTGGTATGTGGTTTTTCACCCTTGAGCACTGCAGGCGTGTTATAAATAAGTCGGCTTTAGGTGGATCAGAAGGCAAGTTAGTGGTCATGTGTTTACCAGAAAATCAGCCAGAGAACTACCCACCTGCATAAAGTGACATCCATCCATCCATTTTCTGTCATACTTGTCCCAAGCGGGGTCACAAGGGGTGCTGGTGCCTGTCTCCAGTTGGGTGAGAGGCAGGGTACACCCTGGACAGGGGGCCTGTCAATCACCATGCAAACCAACAAGTAAATGGTCTTTACTTATATAGCGCTTTTTCAAGTCAGGAGACTTCAAAGCGCTTTACGCTACATTCAGTCATTCACCCATTCACGCATCACTGATCACTGTGGCAAGCTACACTGTAGCCACAGCTGCCCTGAGGTACACTGACAGAAGCGAGGGTACAATACACTGGTGCCACAGGGCCTCTGTTAGTAGATAATGCAGTTGAAGTGTCTTGCCAGAGGACACAACGACACTGAAAGCTGGAGCTGGTGCTTGACTGTCAACCATTCGATTTCACGGCAAACTCCTACACCCGACACAACTGTCCCCCTATATAGTGTCTATCAACTATAAAGTAACATTTCAAATTTAAATTATCTTGAGTTTGGTTTCTCATAGTTTTTTTCTTTTTTTTTTGGTTTTCATGGTAAATATTAACCACGCAGGTAACAAAACCTGGCCTTGGATTTAAAGGAAGATTAAAAAAACTCAACCCTGCTGAACTAGTATGCATGGAAACATGGTTGGCAGCATAAAGTTTACTTGAGTCACATGTTTGTTCTTTGGATGTTATCGAGGGGTTGAAACCCCCGCGCCCACAAGCCACAAACACTCGGTTCCAATCACCTACATATTCCTCTTTACGACATTAATGTACAGTATCTTTGCTCTACTTTACACCTATTTCTCCTCACCTAATTTTATTCTCCAAAGCTTATTTTGAAACATATTTTTGAGCTTTACTCAAAGTTTATAAATTTTCTTCTTTTTTTGCTCATATTTTTGTCGCTAAATAAGCAGTACTTAGGAAAATATTACTTTCCTGAAGTTTTGTACTTTAAATAAGTTGTTTAGCTGATTAGTATTCAATAAATCATGCTGTTAACTTGTAAGTTATTTAGAGAGAAAAAAAATAGTACCTCTGCACACATAGAGAAGGCGGGTTTCACTTGGTATTACTACCTCAACGGAAGAAACAGTCAAATGACTGAGAGGAACAATGAGAGGAGCATCTCTACTATGTCTGCTCTGTAAGTAGAGAAATTCTTAGCTTATTTTTTGCGTTTCCTCTTTTGTTGAGAAACATGATTTAATCACAAAATGATTTGATTTAAATCAGGTGAAATGGATGTAAAGATTTTTCACAGTGTAAAGAAAAATGTCTGCTATCATATTTAGATTGGTTTGAATCAACAAAGTGGGTCTAATCATAACTTTGACATATTTCTCTAAACTATAGAGCAGGGGTGGGCAATTCCAGTTCCTGGGGGCCGGTATCCTGCAACTTTTAGATCCATCCTTGCTCCAACACACCTGAATTAAATGGCTTGGTTACCTCCTTAGTATGCAGTCACTTCCTCCAGAGTCCTCTCAATCATCTAATTATTTGATTCAGGTGTGCTGAACCAAAGGCACATGTAAAAGTTGCAGGATAGCGGCCCTCAGGAACTGGAATTGCCCACCGCTGCTATAGAGTCTCAGTGAGCATGTAGTCACAAGGTTGAAGGTTAAATGAGAATAATTTAATTTAGTGAGAATAATTTTGTCTTTAGGGCTGGCCTTCCTTCATTGTTCTTTAAAAGAGGTTGGTTGTTATGTGTTTGATCATCTTAAATAAAATACACTTTAACAGTTTTGGTTCTTCTTAAAATTTTAGTGGTTTTATTTCCACTCCTCCCAGCTGCTCTGACTGTGAGTCCCAGCAGATCTCAGTTCTTTGAAGGAAACTCTGTGTCTCTGAGCTGTGAGGAGAACAACAGCTCTGCTGGATGGACTGTATGGAGGAACACAACCAGAGGAAGCAGAGAAAAGTGTGATGGATGGGGAAAACCAGCTGGTTCTACCTGTAAGATCAGCTACCTCCTCCCATCAGACAGTGGAGTTTACTGGTGTTGGTCGTCCAGAGAGGGAGCAGCCAGCAGTAGCATCCGGCTCTCTGTCACTGGTAAGATCAGACTGTGGAGTTAGTGTTGATGAAGCTGTGTGGAAATGGATGAAATGCTGTAGTTTGTCTCTGTGTTGAGGTGGATCA